AGTCCGGCGACGAATTCTTGTCGCAGCTCTTTGGTAAGGACTGGGGTTGGAGGACCCTCCCTCGGCTCCGGTGCCTTGGCATTTTCGGGCTGTTCAAGGTAATCATCGAGGATACTGGCAACTGTCTTCCGGGCAGGTAGAACAAAGAGCTATGGAAGGACAGGACAGGGAAGGAGCATAAAATCAGTTTCATAGGCGATGACTGCATAATCTTATGAGAATTCAGAGAAAATAGAATAGGCGCCTGGAGAAGAGGGTGCGTGAACACATAATGGTCTGCCGGAGTAAAGGTGAAACTGTACCGACTTTGAGTTCTATTCTCGGACACACCTATTCGATTCCATAGAAGTCTTTCAGATTGTCTACCGGACACTAGCAAACTTCTCTAGGGGCCTATGCCAACGGTTGCTAGCAAAAGCCGAGGCAGTGGCTAGCAAGTCCAGTGCTGTGCTGTCGGAAGACGCTAATATATGCGCTTCCTCTCCCGTGGCCGACGTCAGGTGGCGATCGCATGTCACCCCCAACATCTGGTGAGAACATTGCATACTGTCTAGCCTGCGTTTCCCCTTCAAAATGCCGACCTCAAAATGCAGGTGGTGTGAGAACGATGAGCATTAACCAAGACTTTTATTCATTCTTTACAACTCTCCTAGCTTAATTATTTATGCAAATGTATAGGGCCGATGATGAATTGCTGAAAACACGTTTGCCGAATTGAGTTTACAAACAGAAAACAGGGTAAGTCTTCACTTAACTCGAGATGCCCAAGACTCGGCATGATACCCAAGCTAGGTTATAAAAAACGGACAAGCACATGGTCTAAAGACGTACGGCCAGGCGCAAGAATCAGGCGTGGGAGAAGGCGAAAACGAGGATAATGAAATATTAGGCCAGATGCCTTTTTTAACTTCGTCGTTAAAGCCACCTGTGGCAAAGTCTTGCGTTCAGCTCGATTTTTAGCTCACATAGAAATTATACAAGAAGACTAGCTAGATAGGAAGAAATCAGAGAATGCACAGATGGGTCAAAATATAAAATCTCAGAAGACCTAATTGCTACCGACTGAAAGGGGATTAAAGACTGAATTCGTCAGTTGAGTGCGAGTGAACAAAGTGAGCCCTAAGGAGATTGACTTATACATAATGAGACAAAGCATGCTACAGATGTAATCAGATAATCACCGTCAAACGTCGGACTACACACGGACACTCCTACACGAGCCCAGGTCGAACGGGGTCGTTTGCATACATATAAAGAAAAATCGTTACAAGATAGGGTAGGACTTTCTTCTGAGGCCGCTTTTGTCTGCGATTAATAATTTTAAAAAAACTACTTCCATATTTTCAGTAGGTCGAATTTGCGCCTAACTAAACACTTCCTGGGTTATGTTAGCCAATAGGAGTTGTTATAGTATTATTATTGGTCTATATTCATCCTTTGCTGACCAAGAGTTTACTTTGGTCGATTTCGTCCTTTCAACGTGCTTTTAGTTCAGTAAAACAATTATGATCGGCTTTAATTTATTTCCTATTGTGCATTTATTACGTATTAAGTACGCCTTAAGCAAGCATAGAACCTTTAACCACGTTTTCTGTAAGAAACTCGGGCGGCGAAACTTTTGTCATTAGGCGGCCTCACAAGAAAGCCTTAGCCGCGATAGGACGCAAATGCATTCGCATTGACGACATCATGTAAACAGGCTGATCGAGATGATATAAGCTTACAAAAGTCAAACCAGAGGACAAGGCCACTAAACATCAAGTGTTCAATGAAATAACCCCTCCAAATTTGGCGACCGTAAGAGGAGAGCTACAGTAGACGAGAAAAAAAAAAAAACATCCACCAGTACAAGCTTAGGAGACATTTCGGCAGGAGTCTCTGGCCAACACCTACCCTGGACTGCTTGGTTATCAGATCCCAGTCATCGACAAGCCAAGCACGAATATTTTCTGGGAAGTTTACTTGAATTCTGGGTCTCGAAAGGAAACCTTCTTCCTGTAAATAGAAAGATGAATGTGTACAAGGCGCTGACAATATTCACAAAATGGAAATAACTAAACTGAGACTCGATCGAGAGAGGGAATGGAATATATCTATACCGTTTCGCCGGTGATCTCTGCGATGCCGGAACGGCCCTTCTTCTTGCGGTTTGTGCCCGGCGTAGGCGTTGGTTTAGGTGGCTTTTCATCCGGCACGGAAGATTGGCGGGAGGTTTTCGGTGGTGGCTGTTCGCCATCACTGGTTTCACTAGCTGGGTGTTCTGAGGGAGTTTCCTCGGGTGTAGCGGTGGGGATGGAGGCTGTCCGGCCAGCTAAAGGAGGTAGGGCAAGGGTGGTTGTTGAGTTCGAATTGCGAGTATTATTGACTTATAAAACATTAACGTACCCTTTACGTTTTCCTCTGGACGAATAGCCTTTTCCACCTTTTCGATGAGCTCGGGGGGAGGGTAAGGTTGATTTTTGAGGTCTGACTTGCGCAGAATCTTCATTTTCTTTCCGGACTTGCTGGAAAAAGTAGCTAGGTAATCGTGTGCGAACTGCAAACATACTTACGCTAGCTTTTCTAATTCCTTCTGTTTTCGAAGACCGGCTTCATCGTATTTGTACATACGCCGATCTGTGACCCATTCGTCCCAGCTGCAGAGAGTGAGGTTTGGACAAGGAAAGTTGCCTACTTTTTGTTCCAGCCTTGATAGTGGACAAAATATTGGACCTCGTCTCCGGTCACTCTGACATCTAGACACTAAATAGCCGATAAAGTATACTATTGACATTGAACAGAGTGAAAAAGTAGCAATGTAAGCCAAGAAATTCTTAAGGCAGATTACAAAAGGTTTGACGAAACATTATCATTTTGTACGTGCAAGGGAAATGATAGGTTACAGGAGGGCATTATTGAGAATTTGCGACCTGTCAAATTATGTGAGGATAACGTTCACTGGTCTGACTTGGTTGGACAGAATGTGGGCATTAGTTTTACTTTGTATTTATTGATACGTTTTAAATAAAATATGGTCTAGGAAGCATATCCTGGGAACCTTCGACACAGGCGAAACGCCAATATTTACCCGGGTCATTTGTCTGCGGTGGTTTTCTCTGGCATTTTAGTCCGTTAGAGTCACCACAAGGCAGCGTTATAAATAGCACCAATTTAATGGTGGCTCTTGATTGCAAGTCTATAGCTTCACCATCGGATCTTGCGACATTTTATGGAGCAGACTGTGTAGCAGACAGTTTACGACCTTTAACATAACCCAAATCAGTTTATCCGCGGGCGCGAGTCTGCGCTGCTGGCCGTTTTACTGGGCGATAACAGTGAACGCGGCGGGTAGTCAGCAGTTATTCTGGTCCGTTTTACTCTTGGTATTGTGTTAAGTCTTAGCAGGAGGGAGCATATCAACATGGGGAATTGTAATCATTCAGGAGAGGGAAAACTGGGACGTTATCCTGATTACCATCACTGGTCTGGCATGTCCTAACTCCGAGCTTGGAAAATTATGGGGTTAAAATCCGGATCCACAAGAACAGAGGGCTTAGAGCTCTCACGGCCTGCCTTATGGTCTTGTCTAATGCCTGAGACCTCTCTCCGTGATTTGGCGTGAGGGAAAATGTGTGCGCATGGGGTTGTAGTGAGATTCGCTATGACTTCCTTGCAAGTAAGGCAGTTGACAACGGACGCGTACTGTGAGTTAGGCAGACGGACAATTTATGGAGGACAGAACCTCTTATTAGAATAATATAATAGCATTGTGTTGATTGAGGTCAACACATAGATACATGGAACTGTCTCCAGTTTTGGTGTGAAAGATGTAAATGGAAAGGTATAAAGTGACAACAGATACCTCTTATTGGGACTTCAGTTGAGCTGCAAAGCATATTTGAAATAGTGGTATGTTTACCAGTGAAATTAACCGACGAGGCAGCCAATAAAATAAAGCGCCTGAAAACTATATGAACTGTAAAGAAGCTAGATTACAAGATGCAGCAGTGGCAGTAACTTGGCATTAAAAGATGCACTAATTGAATGAACGACATCCACACTAACTCCATATCCCAAGCAAAAAATATACTGAGGAGGCGAAACCATGCAGAATATTGCACATGAGTATCTCACGTTATTCAGCAACATTTTTAGATAACGCTACTAATACATAAATGACTAGCAGTAAGAGTAAAGGCAAGTAGGATACCCAGGAGAAAAGTTGAACGAATCTCGAGGACCATGGCGACTGAACAATTAACAGCGTGAAAGCAGCTAGTGAAATAGATCTCGACTCCAGCTTCCGGAAAATAAGTTTTGAGAACAGCTCATAAGGCAGCCTACAAATTAACTCCCTATGAGCATGGCGTTTTACCTTACCAACATAAGCGGCAGGAAATATTGCAGACAGTTTTCAACGAAATCGAAGCGATATGTTCACATTAGTCCGTCTTGTTTGACGCGGTAATGTGAAATCCATGGCAGTGTAGCGATAAGAAGCTAATTAACTGAGAATAAGTATGTGGGTGCAAGTTCATGCGGTTACGAATATCGGAATACGGGAATTAAAGGGGTTGTATACGACTGCCTCAAATAGAGTATTATCGAGCAGCCGCAGAGAAAATACAAATTTGGCTACAATATCCGGTAAAATTCACTGTACAATTACTTCTCTTCATTTACATTTTTGTGCTTATAGTAGTTTCTAAAATCTATAAAACAGACGCATGTTTATGTACCACATCCCTGATAACAGTACAATCACCCAGTGCTAGCCCCTATGGCTAAGTCCGTGATTGGTTTACTGTAAACGATAGACTCTGGAGGAACAATCCGCTCAACAGTAATCTGACGTGGTTGGCACAGGCTGCGCGCAGTCAACCAAACAGATCACTAGCCACACGCAAGTCTGAAATCAGAACTGCTAGTGCAGGTCTAGACAGAGACGGGTGACATGTTACCACGTACGTTCGATATCCAGGGGTTCGTACACATCACTAGGTCCTATGATAGATTGCGTAAATTACTCGATTGTGATGCTCCGGACTAAAAATCATCACGTGCATACGCGAAGTTGAGAGAGAAGGAGAGGCGACAGTAATATCCAAGAAAGAGGAAAGGTAGAGAGCAGGAGAAGCGAGGCATATTTTTCGGTTTAAAATGAGGCATATTTCTACGACTGAGGGTATTTCACGTTATACTGTGCATTTTAAGGAAATTTGTGTTAGACGACACGATAAATTATATTCCATGTCAGCAAGCAGCTGGTAAAATTCTAATGGCTAGCCATATGCTGGCTTTTGAGGACTTGATATTGTCTAGGTAGTATGCGAACTAAGAATGGTAAAATCAACTGTTGCGAGTTTGTGAAGGCACAACTATAGTTCGCACTCAAGTAATATAAAAATTAATTGTTTATTATTTTAAAAAAATAGAAAGGGAGTTACGGCTCTCACCTTTGCCTCATAAAGGAGGGGTCCATGAAAACAGAGAATTTTTTCGCCTTGCAAATGCAAATGAAAGGAAAACGGAGCATACCAGAAGCGAACTTCTGAAATGGTGACTCTTTCTTGATGGAAGACATCTTTATTTGCGCTCCTGCACCTAAAAATCGGGAGCAACTGACATCAACGATATACTAAACCTAAAATGTCAGCAACCAGGAGACCGCATTAAACCTATGGGTTGGCATGGAAAAACAAGACGCTGAGGATGGTGTAGGTGGTATTTTGGAACGTCCGAGCGGGGAAGGCCGGGTGGATTGCAAGAGACCGGAATTGGAATCAGAGGTGCTGGAGCGGTTCGAGGAACTTCTTGAAAGATATTTCCTAAAAGAGCGTCCATTTCATCGAATGGAGATATGTGATTATCACTGAAGGGATTCATGTCGAATAATGAAAATACAATTGTGCGAATAATGTTTATTAAATGCAAACGAACGGATAGTAAATCGTACAAAGGAATAGTAGTAGAAAAACGTCAAACTTATCAAACGCGGGGATGGAGGGAGCCCGGTGCGAAGCAGTCTGTGGCGGTTCAGCCTGAAACCCGAAAAATTCAACTTGCAACCAACGAAACCATTTAAAACAAAAGAGGGTGAGGACGGTTTGCCTACATAGCCCCCTCCTAAGGTGTAGCACTGTCATCAGTGCTGGTGTCGGCTAGGGGTGAGGGAACCGTGACCTCTAAGGCCACAGGAGGGACTAGGTCAGGGGGGACTATGTAGAGGGAAACGTCGTCGTCGTCGGCGTCAATGTCGACACAGGGGGAGGACACCGTGACCTCTGAGGCTACAGGGGGGACTTGGTTTCGAGGAACGATGGTTAGGGAGTCGGGGGTACAGAGGGGAAGTCAACCGCGTTAGGACTTAAGCTTGTTAAAGTGAGCCGTGAAAGGGGGGTGGGAGGGATTCGAGGCGTCAAGTAAGAGGAGCGTAGTTGGGGGCATGATGTCGACTAGACGGAAGGGTCCGGTCCAGGGTTAGTGAAACTTGGAGGAGGCGCCGCGTCGACGGGAGGTGGTCTTGTACATAA